GGAAACATTTTCCGGTTTGAACTGTTTTACACTAGTCATTTTGGGGCCCTTTATAGCTTGCTGTTCGGTGTGAGCCAAGGCTCCGTGTTGAAGGCCGTACTTTGACCTATAATTGTTTATTTTTTACACTTTTTGACTTGGATGGATAAATCAATGGCACTCATACCACATCTTCTTATTTCTATTAAATGATGGAATGAGCGAAATTCGATGAGAGAATTGCTTTACATTAAAATACTTCTGAAATATCAAATAGAATTAGCGGTCAAGGGCCTTAATTTTTTTTGGAAAAATTCCAAAAATTTTGAATATACTTTATGACACTTAATTTTTTTATAGTTCAATCTTTAAATTTCAATTTGTAGGTATTTTTTTGTATATTGAATGATACTTTGTAAAATATTTTTAAAGCAAAAAAGTATTTTTGCAACATGACCAGAACGGGCCTTAGCATTACACTATACACAATGTTATAGCATTACAATTTACACAATACTACGGCATAACACTGGGAATGATCTGTGCTACGGGAATTTGTATCAAAAACTCCGATCTGTTTTATTTTGCTGAAATTCATCAGCGGGTATTTCTCTTGACCTCTTTACAGCCGTAAAAATTCTCAAGATAATAATTATGCAGATGCAGTTTTCTTATTTTTTTGGAGTCGTGCATGTGGATATTTTATAAATAATGGTACAAGAACTTATTTCCTTTGTTATTGAAACTCCAGCAAACATTATATCATGTTTTCTCGTGTAGTTAAAGAAAAGGGAAAGCGAACGAGACAGAAAATTTTTAACATAAAGTTGCAGAGTTTAGTCACATGCACGTGTGTGAACCTGACAAATAAAATGGGTTTTGTGCGCAATACTCCGAATAGCGCCGGAAATGGTGAGAATGAAAAGATGCAGAAAATTATATTTACTTTTTATTAAATACAAACATGCAGAAATACGATTTAAAAAAGACGAGTACACGCAATACCAATATCATAACCGATTATTCAAATATGTGTAGAATCATTCTGTCAACGCTGTGTTAACCGGGACAATTTCAACCAAACTCGATATTTGATTCATAAAAATTAGAACAATACAAGCATTTTTTTAAACAGATGTGACAGTCCGTCAAATTTAGAAAAGATGGAGTTGAAGCCTATACAGTAGCTTTCTTTCACTTGCAGTATAGTTATTTGCCAATTTGCATTTTTTTGGCAGCAGAAATATCCTTAAAAATTAGTCAGTTTATTTCCTTATCAATTGATGACGCTTGAGTATTTGCAATAATTAGCAAAATGGGTTATGCACACTCACGACTTTATTACGTCATTGTACGGTATAATAGCGTTATAGAGTAGAAGTTGTGGTGACGTTACAGTAGACATCAATAACGTCGCCAAATATTTTTTTTATGTTTTCCGCTAAAAATCAAACTTCCACACGATATAGCTAGAAAACTAGCACGGTTGCTAGGGACTTTCTTTGCAACATTGGATTCGCCGTTCATTTTTTAATCCTATATCGATTTTAAAAAAATTCTGTGGACCAACGAATTAGAAAATCTTGATAGAGTAAAAATGTCTGCCGATTTTTATGATTTTCCCTATATACCCTTTGTTTTTTTTTTACGTATCATGCTGTTAATTTAAAAAGATTGTATCTGAAAAACGAAAACGGTTTCCCCCTTTTTTTATTTTATTTTCTGATGTATTTTTATAAGCAGAATCCATACGTTAAATTTTAAAAAAATTTGTGGAGTAGTTGATTACGTACACTTCGCCTTAAGTCAATTAAGCGGATAGTTATTGTTCGATCGACTTTCTTTTCAAACTTTACACATGTTCATACGGCAGTACGAATAAGATTTATTCTTTTATTTTATTTTTTGATAATCAAATTCCGCCGATTTTAAAGAAAATCTAACCAACAAATAACGGCACTAGCATGCTGACACGAAATAATTTGGAATATTTGTTAAAGTCTCCCTCTCGACATGAGTGAGCCTCACTACAGATTTGATTCATCATCAAAATTGTTCTCAGTGGTTTAATCTAGTGCAATAAAATGTTAAATGTAAACATTGTTCCACATCTAAAAAGGATTCGACAAAAATGAGGTGCTTGCATGTTGACAACAAACTGATGACGGACGGACGGACGGACTAACGGTATTTTTCTTTCTCAATTTTCTGTGACTGCTTGTGCAATAGCTATATGCAAAATACCAAAAGAATTGCAGAACACAAAATAAATAAATATAGTTATATGTACAGTATATAGAATCTAACTTTTCCAAATATGGAAACCTTTGTATTGACTTGTATAAGTCATACCTTATTTCATTTTAGTAAATATAATCTCCATTTATAGATTTAGCTTATGATAATTAATTTAATGTTTAATAACTAAACAACTTATCTTGATAAAATATATCCTCATCGGTTTATCAGATAGTATTGTTCTTTTAAGGTAGATCGGTTGTCTTTTTCTGAGCATCCCTTCTGGGCATGTTGCAAAAATTCCTTTTTGCTTTATAAATATTTTTACCAAGAAACATTCAATATACAAGAAAAACATCTAAAACTTGAAATTAAAAGATTAAACTATCAAAAATGTGTTATTTAGTGTATTTAAAACTTTCAGAAAACATCCTTTTAAAATCAAGGGCAGATAATTATACTGAATTTGATAGGACAATTTGTTTATTGTTTTTTGATTTTTCAAGACAATAAAAACCCTATTTTCATTTGACATTTCGGAAGTATTGATGAAAAGCAATTCTTTCATTGAATGTTAACCTATTCTATCGTTTAATGTTTCCTCAATAAGGAAACATGAAGAATTCCTTATATAACCCATATAGAATAACTGTGATTTCGTTAATTTCAACGTATTTTAGCCGAGGCGAAAAAAGGTCCGTGACCTCCAGTTTTCACATTGAAATGTGAAAGTACATTGACCGCGAATTCTTTTAAAGAAGTTGAAGAAAAATCTATCGTCGAACATTTAAACTCCCCAGCTACCTTAATGACAAAGAAAATAGACAAAAAAAAACGTTTTCACTTATGTAACCACACTTTCCTGTTAACCTATATTTAAAAATTCCTTAAAGCGGATATTTAAATGATAAATTTAGTTAACTATGAAACCTTCTCTATGAAGTTTAAACATCACCTTTCTAGAACAATGCACTAAATAGAAATGGATATGATTCTTTAAAAAATAATCTATACACAATATCATATGATGTTTTTGCGGATGGTTTAATTTATTACGACTTGCCATGGCCAGTAAATGGTTAAATGTTTCCGTATAATGAATAGTCTAGTACCCGCAATATGTGTTTGTATAATAATCTTGATCAGTTGGGTCAGTATGCGCAATTGATTTTAGGTAGGCGGTAATGGTAACATTTTCTTTTGTAGCTCAGTCCATATCGTGAACTTGGATATGTATCATGGCTCATTTTGAAGCTGAGACACTTACACATGTGTGTAACGATTTTTGGGTTGGTAAGTGTGATTCTTGTTCCCGTCAAATGCCCAACCCATGCTGAAAGATAGTGGAAAATGTCACTCATCTCATGAAATAATCCCAAAATTCTCAACATACAAAATCATTAAAAACAACTGTCCTTTGTAATCATTTTTACAGGTTTATGTTTTTAAATTTTTTTTTTCATATCACATCAGCTCTATGAGACACCAACCCTAGTTCAGTTATGTCAATTTTTACAATCAAAGCTTCCACAATTCGATGGCGGACTAATATTTTAATGAGGTTCATAAATAAAGGCAACAGTAGAATACTGGTGTTCAAAAGTCATTCATCGATTGAGAGAAAACAAATCCGGGTTAAAAACTAAAACCGAGGGAAACACATCAACTATAAGAGGGAAAAAAAGGAACAATAGGAAAACTGAAGTGCAACAAAAACAAACGCCAACGTACATAGAAACGAACTATTTGATAACAACTGCCATATTCCAGACTTGGTACAGGACATTTAAAGAAAAAATGGTGGGTTGAACCTGGTTTTATGGCTATCCAAACCTCCCGCTTTTATGACAATGTTAAAAAATATCGCCAACATGGCAACACTACATGACAGAAATACAGCACAAACACACGCAAGAACACTCATCACAGAGAAACGCACAAACAAATAATATCATAGTCGACACAACATGCAAACCGCCGAACAACAACGAACATCTTCCATCAACGACAGACACCACAGGACATCGAAAACAGTGATGCACTTACGTAACGAACATGCAATCTCGAACTTTATACAATTATTTTCACAATACCAGTCCAAACAATTTCATGACAATGATGGACTTCAAACGATAAGACATAACACATTATCCAACCGAAACCATAACAGAAACATCAAAAATAAATACATGAATGTTGGATGTACAAAATACCGAGACACGTCGTATAGCAATGTAAATTCACCCTCGGTATAACAGTCATATTCGGGAGTAGGTCACGTTCGGTATTTAGCAGACAGACGACATATCTGTCTTCCTCATTTCAAGGTCCATTAGGGATATTAACCCAGTTCCATTTAAGATGGAAATATATCAAGCAAAGAAAAACATATAACATACACAAGTGCATCCTTACCAGCTACGGTTAGGACCGAACAAACAGCAATTGTTTAAACACATTTTCTTCTGTAGTGTTTCATTTGTGCAATTCATTGCACTTTTTACATGTACTTTTTTATGTTGTTCTTATTGAATATGCATGGCTTCCTTTAAGTATTTAAAGTTTGATAAAAGTTCACAAATAATAAATAATTTAATGATTTATTAATAACAGATGTTTTTTTTAAAAATACCTCGATGCGTTATTCTACAAAGATGCGTTATCTTGACAAAATAAGACGGAAGAGAAATACCTGTCAGCCAATAATTTGAATGTATGACACTTGAAAAGCTTAAAATGAAACTAATTATAAATATATTCCTAAAATAAGCAATTTGACTTACACAATTTTACGACTGTACTTTTGCAAACTTTATCTTTGGTTTAATGATCTGCAAAAAGAAGAGATTTTTTATGCAAAGTCTTCAGACATGGTCACCTTTTTGTCGTAAAATTATAATTGCAATTGTAAAAAAGTATAAAAATTTGACGTCATAATTGAATTTTGACCAATGAGATCAACCAAATCATACGTTGAGTATAAAACTTATATTAAGCCATCGAGGGGATTCCGTTGCAACAGCAATATATCTTGAATTGACCAAGTACAGCTAATTTATGACGCTCGAGTTTTTCTTTCATTTTGTGGTCCAACATAGGTAAAATATAACAAGTTTATTGTGAAAGACTATTGTAGAATATAAAGATCATATTTATTTGACTTGACAGTAGATCGTTTAATTTGGAATTTTGTAAATGTTTACAAAGTAACAAACTCTAGGTAAATTTTGCTAAAAAAAAGAGCAAATACAACATGTACAATGTCCTATGACTGCTTGTGTAAGAGCTGTATGCAAAAAAGTAAGATAACAAAAATACCGAACTCCAAGGAAAATTCAATATGAAGAATACATAGATTCTAACATTTTCAAATATGGAAGTATTGATTTGGGGATCTTATAGGTCATATCTAATTTCATTTTAGTTAAAATAACCTCCATTTATAGATTTAGCTAAACAGAAGGCCAATATTTATAAAATTAGATCATAATCGGTTTATTATACATTATTGTTCGTTTAATGACAACGAAAACAGAAATTCGTTCTTCGCTTATGTAATCACACACTTTCCTGTTCACCTGTTTTTAGATTTTTTAAAGTAGATATTTAAATAATTAATTGACTTAACCATGAAACCTTATCTTTCTATTTTAAAAACGCCCCTCATGAACAATGCAACAACAGCAAAAAAGAAACAGAATGTGACATGTATGATTTATTTAAATATAACCTATACACAATATCACATTATGATTTTTAGGGATTGATTAAATTATCACGGCTGTACATGGTTAAAATTTGTCAGTATGATAAATAGTCTAGTACCCACAATATGTGATTGTGTATTAACCTTAATCAGTTATGTTCAAGACGGAAATATTTTTAAAAAATACATCATATATACAAGTACATCCTATCCAGCTACGGTCAGGACCGTATAAATAGTAAATTGTTATATACATTTTCTGTATTTTTTACATTTGTGCAACAGTTCATTGGACTTCCTACATGTATTTACTTTTATTATTGTATTGTTTTTATTCAAGTTGTATGGCTTTCTTAAAGTATCTTAAGTTTGGTAAAGGTTGAGTTCACAACAAATAAATAACTTATTGATTTAATTTTTCACATCCTAATTTGATGAAACAACTATGTTCAAACCAAAAGTCTAACCACTGAAAATAAATCGTAGGCCAAACTAAATTATTGAGTAGTTTTAAAGTATCACAATCACAGGTTCAATTATAAAACTGAAGAAAAGTAAGGGTATCGTCAAATTTTCTACACAGATGTCTAATAATTTTAAAGAGTTACAACTGAATACTTTTAAAAGATATTGGAGCTTACATTGACAAGATTACAAACGGTAACACAAGCATTCGTTCTTATGACAATCTCGTAAATATGTGTTGGACGGATTTACTTTTACCATTTTCAGAAGTATTTAAGAAAAATAAACGTACTTACCTATAACTTAACTATAAAAGATGTTTTGTTAAATACCTCGCGATAGATAACTAATGCACAAAGTTTATAAAAAGTTGTATGTACATACATTCCAACCAGATTTCCTTCCTTAAAATAAAATAACGAAAGCAAGTTACAGTATGATCATTTTATTTACGATATTTACATTTAAAAATACTAAATGCGGTTTCTCTGAATTCTAACAATAGGACAAGTAAATTCCTTTCAAGGTGTTGTAAGTTTCAATTGATATTGTGTTCGTTATTCATAATGTATATGGTAATTCAATCATGTACGTCATCTATTGTTACATTTAGATATTCATTGATAATAAACCGCCTCAAAGGGAAAATCAAATATTGGGACTTTTTCAGTTCCATTTCATGGTATTTCTATAATGTTTGTACAGATTCACCTTAAATTCTACTCGACCAAAGCAAGACAAATGCAGCTTTCCATAATACGTTTTACCAGTATTTTCCTCTAATTCAAAAAGGCAAATATCCACCCAGCAGTGATGTCAATACAATGGTAGTAAAGAACGTAAGATACTTTTCCCCGCGCATATCAGGTGTTTCTGGAGCGATATCGAATTGCATTATTATATCTAATTCATACGTTTCATTAGGTGAATATTTGATACAAAAATGTTGTAACACATTCATGCCTCCTGACTCATTTTATGCAGGTTGCATAATACGATGTGACTTATTCAATTTTCAATATACCAAGGATTGCATGCGTCATGTATAACAGGCGCGGTATGGTTACGTTGGATCGGTGAACACATTTTTTGTCGATTTTGTATTTATTGTTATCCGTCAATACTGAATCAAGATTTCATACGTTAATCTTTTAAACTAATTTCTGCATTTAAAAGTTGTATTGCAATTTTACAAAAGAAAGGCAAAAAATATCAAAGGGACATTCAAACTCATAAGTCGAAAATAAACTAACAACGCCATGGCAAAAAGAAAAAGAAAAACAACAGCACACAAAACACATAATTGAAAACTAAAGACTGAGCAACAGTTTGTTGTTTTACACGAAAAATCGAGGTCGATAATAGGTGCTCCGGGAGGGTAAGCAGATCCTGCTCCACATCTGGCACATGTCGTGTTAAAACAACAAGAAAATTCCTCATATTAGCTGAAACGATTCGGTATTGTATTAATTTCGATATTTTACCTTCACCATGGTTGTTATGCTATAATTTTGCTGATTTGAAACCTGGAACGAACATAAACTGTAACAATACTGTGTGGCCTGTCGTGACCAAATGGTTGAAAACATTTGCTTAAATATATTTTATCAATTAACATGCTTATGTAGAGACATTATTCGATAATGGTTTAGTATGTTAATGAATAGGAATTTCAATTAGGATCTCTTGCAGTATAAGTGAAGTTAATAAATGGAAGTCGACAATAATATTCGTTTGTAGATAAGGATCTTTGAATTTGATTCCCGCTAGGTATCAAAGTTTAAAAACGTTCTTGATGTTGTCATATGCTTTTACATTTTGAAGGTGGATCATCACAGATAGAATTTTCTTGTTATTTGACAAAGGGTATTTGCAATTTTACATGCTACAAGTCGTGCAAAATTACCCAAATTTTTTTTTCAAGTTGAAAAAATTGAATTGAAAAATAAATTGGTATTTGATAAAACAATCTAAATAATGCAATAAATAACTTTTTTTTTTCTTTTTTTAGATAAACAGTCTTACACATTAATCTCATTTGTTAACAACCCTTAACTTATCCTTAAGATCATACGCACATTGTACTATTCAATAGCCATACATGTCTTTCTTTTCAATTGTAATACAATCTGTTTAATACAATGATATATACTTTATGTGAGCAATACCAGTAATTGTTTCAATTTCTATACTTATATCATCTGCACTTAAAAGACAACTGTCAGCATTATAAAAACAGCCGCGGCGTACATGGTCTACACAGTACTATTAGCATGTGTATACAGTTTCTACATAAAGGAATACTATTAGGCATGTAAATATTTATCCCATATTCCATATAAAACCGTACTACCAGCAGAAGTGTCCAAATGATACGAGTGAATACCAATACCAGAAGCCCCTGTAATATATTCATTGATTAGAATGCTATAAAATGATATCCAATATTCAATGTTTCAAACATGAGATTCTATAAAGATGATATTCAACATGTTCAATGTTCAATGATGAAAATGATATTCAGTATTCAATGATGAGAATAATATTAAAATGATATTCAAAGTCTCAAACATGAAAATGCTATAAAAATGATATTCAGTACTCAATGATGCGAATGCTATGAAAATGGTATTCAATGTTAAAAAGTTAGAAAGCTATACCAGATCGATTTATTATAGATTTTGAACGTCATTGGATATACATTCAGTATTGCATTTCAGAGTGAGGACGAAACTGCCTGTATGACAATATGCCAGTTAAGGAATGTGGAGCGAGGGATCTCCACGTGGGGATGAGACAACATGTCTCATCTGCAGCCGGCGGTGTGCAAGATCTGTATGGGGGATAACCAATTTGTTTGGAGAGTAGCATAGGCATATCAAAACTAGCACTGGAAAACAGGCATGAGAATGCTATAAACTATATTCAGTATTCAAACATGCTAAATTTCCTAAAAAAAATTTGTGAAGAAGATGCCAATCTGTGCAGTTTTATGCAGTTAATGAAATATTTTTTTCTAAAGCTCGACGCTCTCATCTTTGAATACATGTTATATGCAGTTAATAAAATTAATAATCCTTTTGACGTGTTTGTCAAAAGTTCAAAGTTCACAACTATAAAAACTTTTAAATTCTGGGGTGGTATTGGGTGCTTATGTATAATGCTGTCTGTAAAGTAAACATTGTGTGTAAATAAAAGTTTCAAAAAATCAATCATGTTAATGTATTTAATACTTTCAGTTCATCAGTAACTCCCCCACAGCTTATACAGCAATAAAACATATTTTACACACTGTCTCTACATTTACATAAATAAAACACCTTGTTTAAAACATATATAATCATGATAATAAAATTTCTTTATAATATTCTTAAAGTAATAAGCAAACTGTATGGTTCCTTGGTTTTGGCAGATTTTAAATGTAAAATAGTCTATTTAAAAGTTGTATGTTGTCAGATTCTAAGGGTTCATGTATGCCTGAAATAGCAACACTCCAAGTTTGTTAACAATTTGGTTCAGAATCACATACTTCTGGACTCTTTGGGCACTGATGAGGCTCACATTAGTGCTTGCTTGTAGTCAATATGTTAAAATGGTATATCCTGCATGATCTGTTTGAATGGTTGGAGAAATAATGTCCACATGGAAAAAGAATCTGAACATACCTATGGGTACATGTTGTAATTAGGAGGCTCTGGTATCAAATTTTTTATAGTTGAAGTATCTGTTGCAATCCTGTTTGAACATGGGAACATTATGAACTAGATAAATTTGAGAACTGGTTGCTGAACTGTGCTTTAAACAACAATTGAAAGATGATATATTGTTTAAGATTTTCAAACTGGTGATACTAAGATAAGAATACCGGCAATGTTCAAGTATATATGTCGGTATGACTAAGCTTCAGTTGATTAAAATGTAAAGTTTAATAATCCACGCCTGGACATTGTTCGTCCCATTGACATATAAGTCCAGCTGTAGACACATCTACGGTAAAATAAATCACTGTAAACTGATAGTGTTCAGTGTCTTTCATTGTAAATTTGATGAACTCAGTGTGCATACAGGAGGAGCATGTCTCCATTTCGTCAGCGTTTGAATATGCAAATAAAAGAAACAAAAAAAGGGGTCAGTAATAGGCAATATCAAATGCTGTACTTATGTTAAGTCTATAAATATAGATATATATATATATATTTGTAAAACAAGCAACGTAACTGTTTAACCCATTTAGAATCATTTGAAATGTGAATTAAATTATTGAATGTCAACAAATGTCATTCCTCAACTTTCTAAATCAGTAATGTATATATAGATGCAAAATATCCGTAATATCTTTTTAAAATATCTATATCAAGCGCATGATGCAAGGAGGTATTCAGCATATAGAATATACTATGCTATGTGATTGTTAGAATTATGTGTCTCTTAATTATAAAAAAAACTAAATTAAAATAAAAAGTTTTAAAATCTTTACAAAATTGTAATAAATTACTTTGCTCATCCTGGCCGGGCTTTTAATATCTTATCTATCTTTAGATCTTGAAACTATTTTAGTAATTGTTCTGCAATAAGTGGGGTATGTTATAAGGACATCAGCAAACATATTAATATCACCGAAAGAGAGAGACAAATAAAAATATATTTAGTTATACAAGTAAATAAAGATGATGGAATGAATCCATATTTGATGGAGCTTTTTTTTGAATATTCATGTTAAGATATGTGAATAAAAGTTCATATAATTGTTTGTATATAAATCAGTTAAATCTGCTAGTCTCTTGTTTGCCTGAAATTTAGAAATTTGAAAGAAAATTCCAATCACAATACATATGTACATAAAAAAATGAAAGTTCAATACAAATAAACTTGCCTAGAACAGTTATTTAGAAGGTAAAGCCAGTTCATAAACACCAGAAGGAAATCTCTCTGTATGATCACAAATACACATGGATCTATAGTATGTGGATCTTATGATATTAGTCTTGCTCTATCTCATAATTAACTCTCTAACACAGTTACAAACAAGTATTGCTGGTCATCCAAATCCTGGTTAAAAAAATATAAAAGTGTACATGTACTCGGTACTACACAAATTTGCAAACATTGAAAACTAAGTTGTGTATGTGTTAATAAGATTCAAAAGTGAAATAAAGCAAGTTCATGTGCAAAGCAGTAAATATTAAAAAATCAGTTGGTAGCAGTTCAGTAATGCAGCCAGACAATGATAAGGTTAAACATTGTTCATGTCCAGTGGTATAAATTAAAATAATATTAAATTGAACAATAGTACTGTTAAACTATATCAACTAGTCAGACTGCTATCACTGACCTTCAGATAATATACGTATTGTTGTGTAATTAATCTTTATAAGATCTTGTATCATATCCTGCAATTTCCCACCAACGGTGTTTGTTTGTGACATGTATCTGATTAAGAAAAGATTA